CTTATTACCCACCTTCTGAAGCCTGTTTCTGTCCATTCATCAGACTCATTCTCCGTCCAGCCTTGTTCCCTTGCTGGTGAGGAGTTGTGATCCCTTGGAGGAAGACAGGCATTCTGGTTTTGGGTGTTTTCATCCTTTTTGCACTGGCTTCTTCCCATCTTTTTGGATTTCTTTACCTGTGGTCTTCATAGTTGGTGACTTTCACATGGGGTCTCTGAGTGGATGTCCTTTTTGTTGATGATGAAGTTATTCTTTTCTGTTTCGTAGTTTTTCTTCTAACAGTCAGGACCCTTTGTTACAGAACTGCAGGAGGTCGACTCCAGACCCACTTGCCTGGGGATCACCTGCAGCAGCTGCAGAACAGTAAGGGTTGATGCTAGTTTCTTCTGCTGCTATCTTTGTCCTAGAAGGATACCCGCCAGATGTCAGTCTGAGCTCTCCTGTATGAGGTGACTCTTTGGCTATATGGGGGTCAGGGAGCTGCTTAAGGAGACAGTCTGTCCTTTATAGGAGCTCAAGTACTAAGCTGTGAGCTCCATTGTTCTGTTCAGAGCTGCTGGGCAGGTACATTTAAGTCTGCTGCAGCAGAACTCATAACCACCTTTTCTTCCCAGGTGCTCTGTCCTGGCAAGATAGAGCTTTATTTATAAGTTTCTGTCATGCTGCTGCCTTTTTTCAGGGATGCCCTACCCAGCAAGGAGGTAGCCTAGTCACAGTCTGCCAGTAGAGGCGTTGCTGAGCTGCCGTGGGCTCTGCCCAGCTGCTATGTGAACTTCCTTGCAGTTTTGTTTATAGGGGTATAGTTAGAACTGCCTTGGTAATGGCAGGCTGCCTCAGTAATAGTGGACTACCCTGGCAGTGGTGGACTGCCTCAGTAATGGCAGGCACCCTTCCCCCACAGACCTGGACCATCCTGGGTTCAGCTGTGCTTGCTGTGAAACTCTCATTCCAAAGTGTTTCAGATTGCTGGTCTTTGTGGAGGTGGGACCAGCCAAGCCAGATCACCTGGTTCCCTGTTTCCATCCCCCCCCTTTTTTTTTCACTTGAATGGGCGAGTTTGTCTCCAGGCATTCCAGTCGCCAGTTGAAATGGCACCCGGATTTGTGTGAGTTTCTGTGCGGAGACCTGCTGCTCTGGCTGAAACAACCACAAGGGAGACTGGTGACGCTTTTTTGCCCAGGAATCTCCTGGCCTGGCTCCCTGTTTCAGTCCCCTTTTTTTCAGTTGATCAGGCGACTCTGTCTCCCAGGCATTCCAGTCACCCTCTGCATTTTTGCTGGGAGCTACAATCCAGAGTTGTTCTTATTTGGCCATCTTGAATGCCCCTGGTGGGCTCCTGCAGTCTTATTCAGTGGTCCCTAGTTACCACATCCAGCCTCTGAAGCTGGTTGGGCCATGAGTTGGTGACCACGTCGATGTCCCTGATGTCCCTAGAGCTCTCTGCACAGTCAGTGCCGGGGCCAGCACCACTCATGATCAGTGTTTCTCTTGTTGGGCACTGCTCCTGCCCTCAGTCTCCAGACCTCTTTATTCAGTCCTGCCTCAAGGACTCAGCCTCCATCTCTGCCTAAAGCAGCAAATTTCCATCCCACTGTGGAATTCCTCCAGGGATATGTATTTCCCTCAGTTAATGTCCAGAAATAATTTCCTTCATCAGCCACGACTCTAAGCAATGTTCGGAATGTTCAGTTTTCCCTGCTTGAGTCCAAGATGGGCTTTTCCCACGGTTCTCATAAGTAACCCAGGATGGTTCCTCTAAGCAATCTGGAGTCTCATCTGGTTCCCAGTGTAGCCAGTTGGAGTCCTGTGTCCAATAGTAGGCCAGGACTCTGGGGGCAACAGTGATGAATTTCTCAGGGGTCTTCAAGAAATGCTAGGTGTGGGTACCTTCCGCCTCGAAGACTCAAAGTTATACTTTGTCATCACCCTGAGGCTTCTTAAGACCCCTCCTCTGAGAATGCCACACAGAGAAGTTAAGGAGAATCAAAACAGACAGGGTTTGCTGGGTTTTCCCACTCAGTCTATTCGCATGAGATCATTTGCTTTTTGTCCCATCGGATTTCTGCACGGCTGTGCACTCTTTATTGGGTTTAAGCTTTAAAATGAACAGTTTTCCCTTGGTTCTTTGGGTATTCATTTCTGAAGTTTCCCATGTCAAATAAAACTTTGGTTAAGTGAATCTCTTGTGCTTAAAAAAAAAAAAAGACCTCCTCTAAAGAATGTTCATTTCATTGGCAATTTCAGGAGCTGTTATGTCTGTCACCTACTATACATAGGGTCCCCTTTCCACTGTAGGGGTCTGACATGCTCAGGCATAGACTCCTCCACTGGTGCAAACCTAGTTTTTGTTGTGTGATGCTCCCCCTGTGATGTGGGTATCTGGAAATGGCTCCTTCCCTTACAGCCTGTTGCCTCTCTAGAATGTATATGGCCCCCTCACCAAATGGGCCAGGGCCTTCTCTGAACAGATTCACATTTTCCACTACCCAGGTGTTCCTTTCAGTTTCTAGCTCTGAATCACTTCACCTTTTTCCTCTCTTTCTGGGTCTTAAACTACCAAGGATGGACTATGGTTTCAGCAAGTTCTTGGGGACAAGGCCTCATTGTAACTTTTGTAGTTGATGTGTGTTTTACTGCAGTCATAGGCCACTTCTTTTTTTTTCTTTTTTGTTTTATTGTACTTTAGACTCTGGTGTACATGTGCAGATCATGCAAGATTGTTGCATAGGTACATTCATGGCAAGGTGGTTTGCTGCTTCCATACCCCCATCACCTATATTTGACATTTCTCCCCACATTATCCCGCTCCACCCTCCCTCCCCTAGCCCCCTGACAATGGACCCCAGTGTGTGATGCTTCCCTTTCTGTGTCCATGTGTTCTCATTGTTCAACACCTACCTATGAGTGATAGTGTTGAACAGTGAGAACATGTGGACACAGAGAGGGGAGCATCACAAACTGGGGTGTTTGATTTTCTGTTCTTGCGTCAGTTTGCTGAGAATGATGGTTTCCAGGTTCATCCATGTCCCTACCAAGGACATGAACTCATCATTTTTTATGGCTGCATAGTATTCCATGGTGTATATGTATCACATTTCCTTTGTCCAGCCTATCATCGATGGGCATTTGGGTTGGTTCCAGGTCTTTGATCTTGTAAACAGTGCTACAATGAACATGTGTGTGCATGTGTTCTTATAATAGAACCATTTATAAGCCTTTGGGTATATACCCAGTAATGAGATTGCTGGGTCAAATGGAATTTCTATTTCTAGGTCCTTGAGGAATCACCACACTGTCTTCCACAATGGTTGAACTAATTTACACTCCCACCAATAGTGTAAAAGTGTTCCTTTTTCTCCACATCCTCTCCAGCATCTGTTGTCTCCAGATTTTTTAATGATCACCATTCTAACTGGCGTGAGATGGTTTTGATTTGCATTTCTCTAATGACCAGTAATGATGAGCATTTTTTCATATGTTTGTTGGCTGCATAAATGTCTTCTTTTGAAAAGTGTCTGTTCATATCCTTCGCCTACTTTTGGATGGGTTTGTTTGTTTGTTTTCTTGTAGATCCGTTTTAGTTATTTGTGATTCTGAATATTAGCCCTTTGTCAGATGGGTAGATTGCAAAAGATTTTTTCCATTGTTGGTTGCTGGTTTGCTCTAGCAATTGTTTCTTTTGTTGTACAGAAGCTCTGATGTTTAATTAAATCCCACTTGTCTATTTTGGCTTTTGTTGCAATTGCTTTTGGTGTTTTACTCATGAATTCCTTGCCTGTGCCTATGTCCTGGATGGTTTTGCCTAGATTTTCTTCTAGAGCTTTTATGGTGTTAGGTCTTATGTTTAAGTCTTTAATCCATCTGGAGTTAATTTTAGTGTAAGATGTCAGGAAGGGGTCCAGTTTCTGCTTTCTGCCACTTCTTGATAAAAACACATTAAACTTTGTATTTTACAACCACATTGGTAAATGGTGTATACATTTCTGGCTATATTTGTTGGTATATATATTCATCATCATTATATTCACTTTAGGAAATGATTTTCTAAAAATTATAACATTTTCACGTACCCCTATACATATTGCGGGCCTGGATCCCTGAAGCTACCTTGCCTGAGAAAAGAGTTGGCCCTGGTGGAGGTGAGCTGTCCTGAGAAATAGACAGGGTCTTCCTGAATGAGGGGATGGCACCAGAAAGAAGAGGGACAGGCTGAGGTAAGAGCAGAAGAGGTGGCAATAACCGACCCCTGGTGACAGGTACGCTGGGGACATGAAGGAGACCCCAGATTCCATTTAAACATCCCCTGCTGTGCTGGGTTCTGCGGAGCACACTCACTCCCCTCCACCCTCATTGCCTTTGCAGCTCACTGTGGGGCAGGGGAGGATGGACCCCATTCCCACTGCAGAGAAAGGACTCAGGGAAACCCAACAATTTAGGAGGATGTTATGAAACTCAGTAATTATATTTTTATGTGTCTAAAATAAGATAATATTATAAATAATATTTTAATGCAATGTTTAAAAAATTAAATCTGAGGCCGACATCCATGATGAACAAAAATAATAATTTAAAAGCCAGACACCATCCACCCTGCTTTGCAGTTCTCTTATCCCTGGTTGGCTCTGGTCTGAAACCTGCACACCTCGGGGAGGCCCAGGGACAGTGCAGAGGAGTCTGGTGTGGACAGCAGGGCTCAGCACACACAGGAGGACTGGAGTAAAAGCAGAGCCTCTGAGCAGGACCCCACCTCAGACCCCAGAGCCTGAGGACCCCAGGGAGAGGCATGTGGGCAGATGGCAGGATGAGGGTAGGGAAACAGTCTTCAGAGAGAGGCCCAGTGCTTGGGCCAGAGATGCTGAGAAAGCAAGTGCTCCACAGAAGCCTTGTCCCTCACCTGACACTTGCAAGGCCTGTCTGTGGCCTGTCTGTGTCTGCCTCCCACAGGTAGCCTGACTGTGAGGCCTGGAAAGCCTCCCTTTTCATGAAATGACAAAGGGAACTTGATGATTTGCAGTTTATTGAAATGAAAATGAATTTGAGGTTTCAACAATTGCCTTGCAGTTTCCACAAAAAAAAAGTCCAAAGGAAAAAGAAAATAAGAAAAATTGTGGTTTCTAGCAGTAGGCAGCAGTTTTCTGGCCGTCTTCCATGTTGTAGCTGTGTCTGAGTCAAAGGTCCCGTATAAAGTTAGTAGAGTGCACAGTAAATGCTGTCGTATATTTTTTGCTGGAAAACAAAAGCAGGCCACTTAGATTTGCAAATCACTCTTAGAAAGTGAGATACTAACATACAGACATTTCTCTTCATGTTGTTTTTCTGCGTTTGTTCACAAACATCTAACACTTAGGAAAATTTGCATTGGAAGCAAAACAATAATTCTATTTTCATTTATTCTGCCATCCAGAAGACACATTTTTTTTAAGGCAATGTTTCTCTGCCTCCCAGGCTGGAGTACAAGCGGCACGATCTCAGCTCTCTGCAATCTCTGCCTCCAGGTTCAAGCCATTCTCCTGCCTCGGCCTCCCAAGTAGGTGGGATTACAGATGCCTGCCACCATGCCCAGTTAATTTTTGTATTTTTAGTAGAGATAGGTTTTCACCATGATGGCCAGGCTGGTCTTGAACTCTTGACCTCAGTTAATCCACCCACCTCAGTTAATCCACCCCAGAGTGCTGGGGTTACAGCTGTGAGCCGTCGCACAAGACCCAGGAGACACTTACTCCTACAGACATCCAACAGGGGTCAGGGTTTTCGGATCTTCCCTGCCAGGATCCCCTTAAGATTTTCTTCTCCAAAAATCCTATTCCTTGAAATAATTTATCCAATGCCTATGTGACATGCACTATTGGATGAAGACATGCCAGTTGAAACTGATTCTGAGACCGCTCTTTCCACACAGAATTGTTTTTGTTTTTAAAAGACGGTGTCTCCCTATGTTGCCCAGGCTGGAGTGCAGTGGCTATTCACAGGCGCGATCCCACTACCAATCAGCATGGGAATTTTGACCAGCTCTGTTTCTGACCTGGGCCAGTTCACCCCTCTGTAGGCAACTTGGTGGTCCCCCATTCCCAGGAGGTCACCATATTGATGCCAAACTTAGTGCGGACACCAGATCAGCATAGCGCACTGCAGCCCAGAACTCCTGCACTCAAGTGATCCTCCCGCCTCAGCCTCCTGAGTAGCTGGGACTACAGGCACGCACCACTGCACCCGGCTACAATGCAGAATTGTTAAAACCTCAGCTCAGATATATGAATGTGATGGTTTGGAGTTGCTGTGTCGCCTTACAAGTGAGAAATATTATAGCAGTCTGAGGCTCTTCACCCTTTACCTTGGAATAGATTTAAGAATATTGGAGCTAGGTATGATTAGTCTACTCTAGGTTTTTAAAGAAGAAATGATTCTACGAATGTTTGGTAAGTCTTTACATTTTCTACCATAAAATGTTTCAAATGGAATTTTGAAATATTACATAAATGTTAAAAATAGAAACTGTAGGTAACATGGTTTTTTTAATGGGCAGAAATACTTGTTATAATCACAGACTTTTATTTTGATGAAGAATTCTGGCACGTGTGCTGTTTCACACCATGATCTGTGCTTCATATTTCCAGAGGTGCTTAATTAAGTAGCCCATGATCCCCAGTCAGGTGTGCTAACAAATCTGGGCATGGGTTTTCAATTCTTTATATTAGAATCTGTAGAGTTTGCCCAAATAGTATTTTCTGCACTGTATAAAATAATTTTGAGAACATTTTGATTATTCATTACTATGAAAAGGAAAACTGTATTGTTGGTTGTTCCCAGTAGTGAGTGGCTCTTTGAGAATCAGATATTTTCTCTTGATAGAAAATGTCCAGCCTCATCAACATGGTGAAACCCCATTTCTACTGAAAATACAAAACTTGCCCGGTGTGGTGGCAGGCACCTGTAATTGCAGCTAGTGGGGAGACTGAGGCAGGAAAATACCTTGAAGTTGCGAGGTGGAGGTTTCAGTGAGCCGAGATTGCACCACTGCACTCCAGCCCAGTGACAGAGTGAGACCCTGTCTCACAAAAATTAAAGAAATAAAGAAAATATAGGTGTATCTCTGTCCCTGTCTGTGTCCATGTGTGTATGTCTATGTGTTTATTTTTCTGTCTCTGTGCATGTGTCTGTGTGTTTCTATGTACGTGTGTGTCTGTGTCTCTGATTCTGTGTGTGTGTGTGTGTCTGTGTTTCTATGTGTTTCTGTTTCTATAAGTGTGTGTGTCTGTGTCTGTGTGTGTCTATGTGAGAGAGAGAGAGAGAGAGTGTGTGTGTGTGTGTGTGTGTGTGTGTCTGTGTGTGTGAATGGACTGGGGAGCTGATTAGCTCTGACTTCTTTTCTGGAGATTTCTTTTCTGTCTTTCTTTCTTTCTTTTTTCTTTTTTTCCAATTATCACTCCCTGAAGACACTCGAAGTAAAGTTGCAAAGCACCCTTAAATTAACCGATGTATAAAGAAAGCTTGTTCACCAGTGCTTAACATTCCTCGTGGCATATTTGGAGCCTGTTTGTTTCTGGATAGTGATTTTAAAGGGCACATAAGAAAAAAAATGAAATTACCATCAACACTTGAAAATCTTGCAGAGTTTCATTTGACTGTTTGAGGAAACACTGTTTGAATTCCCCTACAGCCTCTGCACTCTCATCACCGTGTATGAACTCTTGTAGATATTGCTTGTATTCTGGTACAGACACTTCAGGATCGTGGGTCTTGTCCACCACCTCCTCCAGCAGTTGGCAGCCAGAACCTGAGAAAAAGGCACAAGAACATGGGCCATCACCAGAGGGGTGAACCTGTAACTGGGTTTTTTCTTGAATGCCGGTGATCGTCGTGGGTTTTTAGCCTCCAACCTCTTAAGGAATAAGCGGTGGGGCCACTGCAGGTGGACCTTATGCTCATAAAAAGAATACCGGACCCAAAAAGCCTTGCAGAAAGGTGATTTTATTTAGGTAGAGAAAAGAGAAGGAAAGGAGAAGAGAAATGCTTCCAAGAAGAGTGTGGAAGGGAATTCCAGAGGGGAAATCCCAGAAGGAGCTCCCACCATGTGGGAGGGGATTCCAGAAAGCTGGAAAATCCAGCTCAGGTGAGGGAGCACAGACTTTTATCCTGGTAGAAACCCACACCTTCTCTAAGACCCTGAGCCAATGAAAGGAGTTCCTTACAGCTTCCGCGGGAGTGACTGACTTAGTTTCTTCCCGCGACCGCGAAATTCAAACATAAACCATTGAATCTCCCGGATGGAGAGAGATGGGAGGGGGGCTTGGCGCTGGGAAATTCTTGCCCTTAAAGCTACGCCCCCTCATGGACCCCAAAAGAGAACACATTCCCTCAAACCCATTCTGGGGATGAGCTCTGAGGCTGGTCATCTGCTTACCTCCCAGGAGAGACTGAGCTTCAGAAAGATTATGGCGCAGGGTCTCAGGTTTTCAATTCTAGGAGCATAAACTCAGTCTGCGCAAATTCTCCTGACCTCTAAAGCTCAGATCAGCCCATCCCTGTGCATTCTTGGTGAAGAGAACCCTCGAGAAATGAGCGGCTCCGACTGGGGACACACAGCAAACGCTGCTTCAACTTCTTTGGTCCAAAATCATACAATGCTTCCCTTTTATCATTCCCAGCATCAAGTAGGGGTTCAATGATTTCAGATGAATGGGCCCAAGATATTGTCCAACAGCGCTATTAAGTCAACTGCAATAAAAAAGGAACCTAAAACAGAACTTCTTGCTTATGATAGGCTCTGAGGTGGTCCCCACTTTTGGGGAATGGAAAGTTCTCAGGACGTGGATTTGCATGAGCTGCTTGTGCTCTGGGCTCTGCTGTTTTCTATTTAGTTGACTGTGAACTTGTCAGCTATTCACCCACTTGCACCTACTTTGGCAACAAATGAGGCAGAGTGTTCAGGGTAAGCTTTGTGACTGCACAACCCCTAGCTTTGAGGCAGACCTCCCTGCCCAGAACTCACCTGCGTAGCAGCACAGAGGGAGGGCCGCCAGCATGAGGACCACCAGCAGCTTCATGGTGAGGCAGGTGCTGTCGGCGTTCAGTTGTGTGTGGCAGGGATCAAGGAAGCTGCTGTGGAGGTGAGCGCCCAGCACTGCTCTATTTATTCCCCAGGGAGGCACCTTAGTCCCTTCCAGGAATAAAGCAATGCGTCAACCTGGCATGGGACCAGGACACATTAGCAAGCACCAAGGGGAACCCGGCCAGCCTGTGCTCTGTTTGTAGAAACAGAGAAGGCAGTGATTTGGAGTCCCCTGACAATCTGGGGACTGAAATAATGACACATGGCTCCGGATAAAATGAATGCGACAATGTTTTCCAAAATACAAAGCAAAACCCAGCAATGTGACCTGTGTTCTCGTCACTGTGGTGATTGTGATCATGACTTCTTTATTCCTTCCTGCCTTGTGCTTCCTGCCGCCTCAACTCTTCTTCTGCCTCTCTTCACCTCTTCTCCTATTTTTCTAGGTGCACACAGCTCCATATCCTGTCTTTCTCTCCTGGAACTATTATAGTTGGAGTAGGCGCAATACCTGTATCTTCCTGGGACCTGGGAGGCAGTCCTTCTTCACCCATAGTCATTCCTTTTTCATTAAAGCTATTTCAAGTGCAAAGGGAATATATCAATATCTAATCTCTGGGTTTTTTTATTTTTTTTGAAGTTCCAGAGCACATGTGCAGTATGTGCCAGTTTGTTACGTAGGTAAACGTGTGCCGTGGTCGTTTGCTGCACCTATCAACCCACTAGCTAGGTATAAAACCAAGCATGCATCAGCTCTTGTCCTTAAAACTCTCCCTTCCTGACTTCCCACAACAGGCCCCATTAAGTGTTGTTTTCCTCCGTGTGTCCATGTATTCTCATTGTTAACCTCCCAATTATAAGTGAGAACATGCAATACTTGCTTTTCTGTTCCTGCGTTAGTTGCTGAGGATAATGTCTTCCAGCTTCATCGTTGTCCCTGCAAAAGACATACTCTCCTTCCCTTTTATAACTGCATAGTATTCCATGATGTATACATGCCACATTTTCTTTATCCAGTCTATCATTGATGGGTATTTGGCTTAATTTCAGGTCTTTGCTATTGTGGATAGTGCTGCTATGCATGTATCTTTATACCAGAATGATTTATATTCCTTTGGGTACATACATAGTAATGGGTTTACTGGGGCAAATGATATTTCCATTTCCAGATCTCTGACAACTTGTCCCTCCATCTTGCACAATGGTTGAACTAATCTACATTTCTACTAACAATGTGAAAGCATTCCAACTTCCCTACAACCTTGCCAGTATCCATCGTTTCTTACCTTTTTAATAATTGCCATTCTAACTGGTATGAGATAATATTTCATTGCGGTTTTGATTTGCATTTCTCTAATGATCAGTGATGTTGAGCTATTTTTCGTGTATTTATTAGCCACTGAAAGTTTCCGTGTTTTAGAAATAAGAAATTAACCCAAGTTTACAAATTCACTGTAGTAGAAACCTAGGAATTAATATTTGTTTATCACTTTGGTAGCATTTTAAGGTTTCCCTCCCACTGATTGAAAGGATGCTGTGAGTTAGTGGAGTAACTGAATTCCTGGGCAGGCAGTGCTGGGCAGTGGGTGGTGATGGGATTTAGGCTCATGGAGATGTGGACTTAGATCCTGGAGGCCATATGTAGTCATGCCGTGTCTTTGGGCAAGTTACAATGCTGGTTTCTCTAGGATTTCTGTCTCTCTTTTGTGAAATGGACCTAAACAATACCATGCTAAAATTTGTAATGATGTTGGATACTCTATGCCAAGTTTTTAGAACATGGTGTAGCATAAGAGAATTCTGAATAAATGTCAGTTTTCATCTATATTCACATCCATTGTTGACCACATAACTCGTGGGCTTCTCCTATGAGCTGAGCCATGGAAATTTCATTGTAGACAAAAATTCAATCAAGTCCTTGCCTTCATGTACTTTTCTTTCCCAGAAGGTCAAAAATAACCCTGCAAATGAATCAGAGATATTGAGAAGTGAGAATTGCTGCGAAGGACAGCAGAATATCCATAATGGCGGAATGCTGTCATGGACTGGATGGTGAGGAGCAGCGTCCTGTAAGCAGCCCAAGGCAGCCTGGAGAGCAGGTGCCATTTCAGCTGAGGCTTGAATGAATGGAGAGTGATATACAGAGACACATCTGAGGAAGAGTGCTCCAGGTTGGGAAGAGCAAGTACAGGGCCTGAGGGTGGAGGGCACTTGGTGAGGTCAAGGAAGGTAGGGCACATGTACCTTTTGGGGACAAGTTGGCTTCACACGATAGAAATCAGCCCTCATTTATTTAGGAATAACATAAAGACAAAAGGTACTAGAAACACAAAGTTGGCTCAAGTTTAACAAAAATAAATGAGACAGCCAAAATTATGTGTCCTTCCTACCCATGAATGCATTATTTGCTGTCTGAATTATTTGTGACATATATTTGCCATCATTCAGCCAGAGCCTATGATACCAAGAACAGACCTAATTTGGGGAGGACAGAAAGTAGAAGGGTTGTGTACTTACCTGTGTAAACGGTTGACCATGGCTGGCATCCTTCATTCCCAGGGGAAGTTAAGGACTTTGATCAGGAAATGAGTGCTGTCTTTTTAGCCAAGGCTTATTGGGTCTCTACCTAGTATCACAGTCCTTATGACCCTGCTCTGTCACCTCTTGGGCCAGAGGTGACAGGTGCAGTTGCCCACACTAAAAAGGTTGTGTTTTCTTTAACCTCCAGCAGGGCATCGGAAAGTGATTATTCTCTCGTGAGTGAAATAACAGTAACTCAAGCCTAAAAAGACTCATTGGCTAGCTGGGCACAGTGACTCACTCCTGTAACCCCAGAACTTTGGGAGGCTGAAGGGGGCAGATCACGAGGTCAGGAGTTCAACACCAACCTGACCAACATGGTGAAACCCCGTCTCTACTAAAAATACAAAAATTGGCTAGGCACGGTGGCACACGCCTGTAATCCCAGCTACTCAGGAGGCTGAGGCAGGAGAATCACTTGAACCCAGGAGATGGAGGTTGCAGTGAACTGAGATCACGCCACTGCACTGCAGCCTGGATGACACAGCAAGACTCTGTCTCAAAAAAAAAGGACTCATTGGCAATGCAGTCTTCCCAGAAAGAACTAGGAGAGCCCCGGAACTCAGCACACTCGTGTTGCTGGTGCAGTTTGCAGTCTTTTTCTCTTCACGAAGGGTCTTTGCTTGGGTCTCTTAATGAAGTTCAGGAACTGGGGAAGTCTAGTGTCCTTCAGTGCCACGCTTAGTTTCACTAATATTTATTCATCACCTGCTGTGACAAGTACACTGCAGAAATAAATTATTTACAAGTTCTATCTGGAGTGAGCTGGTGTCTCTGGAAAGAATAAAAGTCCTTGGTAAGAAATAGTGATGTTTGGGCTGCCTCAGGTTCCCAGGAGACTCAGATAAAGACGTATTAATATTTTTTGACATTTGAAAGGCCTTGCCATCCTTAATATTAAGTAGCAACTTTTTTGAGAGCCACACAGGGTTTAGTGATTTGTGCATTTAAACAAAAAGCGTAAAAAATGTTTTTTGAAGGTGAAATGATCATTAAGTTTTATATTTTAAATTGTGCATTACGGGTATGAACCACCTCCAGTGTGTTTGAGGAAACATGACACAGATATACTTTTTTTACTTCATTCCCTGCATCTAGTTTATCCTCTCCCCTACTAGGTTGGCGGGAAACCACTTGAGACAGGTCTTTTGAGGTGAATAAGAGACTTTGCACAATGTAGATGTTAAGTGAGGAGCTGCTTGTCCAGGAGACTTTAGGAAAGGCCTCTGGTCTTGGAGCTGTCTTGTTTCACATTTAGATGTTGATTAAGTCACCAATGCCTCTCCCAGACCTAGTGCCTCCCTTGTCTTAGTCCAAGTCTGGGGCTGGAATTCCATGTCCATGTGTATCTCAGTGTTTAATCCACACCCTACCACCACCCCTATATTTCAGCTCAGTATACCAAAATGTGCCCGAAGAAGCCTGCAAAGACTGACATTCCCCTGAATGGGTGTGTGTGTGCATGACAACACAGGGTTGGGATTGTGTGAACAGAACCGTGTGATTCCCCTAAAGAGACCACGAACATCAGCAACACATTGAAACCACTCCTTTCTGAAATGGAGCTGAGAAAAGGAGAGGCTGTAGCCTCCATGGGGAGTCTACAACAACCAAGGAAGAACCCTCTTCCCCTTACACAAAAACACAAGAAAATGGGTGTCATAGTAGTGTGGTTTTTATGTGCAGTTGTCCAAAGAAACCTGTGTCCCTTTGTGTCTTTCGGAGGCCTGAGAAGACCCACACAGGAGACTATCAACCCCAATGGGAAAGGAGAGGTGCAGAGAGATTGATAAAGGGCTCTGGGAGTCCAGAGGATGGAGAGGGTGCTTTCCTTTAAGTAGGAGAAACTTCCTCTGACTCAGAGGAACAGGGGAAACTGTGGATAGAAAACAAGTAGGTTAAAAGTGAATACGTTCAGATGTATCCACCTCACCTCAGGGGAGGTGAGGATGTGTCCAGAGGAGTCAGATGATTGACAGGTCAGGAAGAAATAAAACCCCTTATTCCAATGGGTAGTCCTACCCCAGCAGGACATTCCCAAGGCACCTGGGAAGAGATGTGGGAAGGGAAGACTTGGGAACAGAGGATCTGGGAAGCTGCAGTTCTGCTGAGCACCTCTGTGCTGTGCTGCCGTTCCAGTCCCTGCAAGTTCTGCAGTTTTTTTCCTTTCATGGTCCAATGGCAGGTGGCTGGTGAGTGAGGACTCTGAGCTGGACCCTCTGTGTTTTCATGCCACCTTCCCCATTTGCTGACTGCCACATTGGATAGGAGTCTTGATCCTCTGTGTCTCCCTTATAACAGAAACAGTCATAGAGTTGTTGTGACTCATCATTGAGTTAACAAGTGTGAGGTCCTAAGAACAGTGCTTGGCACAGTGTAGGTGCTACCTCACTGTGTGTTTCTGATAAACTCTAAGGTGCTTTGTAGTCTCTGAAAACTGAGTTTGCACATCACTTTCTCTAAAACAGAGCAACCTACTCAAATACAGGCTAAAAGTTTTCACT